TCTTATCAAAGCACAAGCAGCTGTTCTATGACTTTGCATAAATTAGAAATGAAAATATAAACAGAGTCAGCAGAAATCTCATATCCCCATATTTCATCATTTTTATTTTTTTCATAAATCAGTGTTCTATTACTGTGAGTTTTACAAATATTTTACCTATGAAAAGTATTAAAACCAACCTGTGTGGCCACCTGTGTGGCAATCTTATTTTGGCTGTTTGTCTGCAGCATGTGTGATTCTCTACATGACGACATGGCCTGTTGAATCAATGCCATTGTATCTCCACATCCCACCACTGAAGTTGTTAAATAAAAGCCTATTATATACCTGAACCATTCAAATAAAACCTAGTCTGTAAAATATATTTTTTCTAATGTTGTACAGCATTAGTATCATCATATGTCATGATGATGTGTTTTAAACAAAGATGTGGACCCAAGGCCAGATGAGCTGGAAGCATGTTTTTTTGTTTTTCTTCTGGCGCTTGCCCTTATTAGACAGGGTAGCTCAAACCCTGAAGGGGGGGGGGCACTAAAGGGGGAAGAGAGGGTGGATGACACCCTGCAAGAGGCCAAAGGTTGGATTTGAACCCTTTTAATAAGGTACCTGTTGAAAACACCTTGAAAAACCCACACATGAAGAAAATTTGGTTTATTCTTAATGTTTCAATTTATCCTCCAGTTTATCAGTATTTGTATTCTCTCACCCTGATCTGCCTCTCATGCTGTGATTCCACACAGATAAATATACCAGTAGCGTGTGTGTGTGTGTGTGTGTGTGTGTGTGTGTGTGTGTGTGTGTGTGTGTGTGTGTGTGTGTGTGTGTGTGTGTTTGCACAGATGTGTGTTTGGAGCATATATCCACACAGAAGAGGGGATTGAAGGATGAGAGAGAGAGAGAGAGAGAGAGAGAGAGAGAGAGAGAGAGAGAGAGAGAGAGAGAGAGAGAGAGAGAGAGAGAGAGCTGTCAAAGTGCACAGGGGTTGCCGCTGAGGACGTAATGGAAAAATCACTCAAGATTAACATGTAACACAGGAAATGCTCTCAATTGAGCCTGATTGCCTCATGTGTATGTATGTGTGTGTGTGTGTGTATGATGTGTGTGTGTGTGAGAACTCCAAACAGAGCTGCTGACAGAGCAGCTGCTGTTTATTGACGAGATTTCTTAAGCGATATTAAATATTAAAGCTTTCCTCAGAAAAACAAAGCTTAAAGGTGATTTCCCTGACTGTAGGAACACAGTGTGACACTGATAATAACATCAGCTGCAGCCTGTATTCAACAATTCCCACAAATTTCCATCGCTGCATTCTCTGTTAAGTAAAGTCTACTTAAGTAAGTCAATTTTCAGTTTTCTTCATTTCCCCCTGTCAACCTGAAATAATCTGTATCTGTATTTTCCAGTAAAACTAGAGCAGCATATGACGTGATGTTCATGAATATAGCCGACCTTTATGTTGGCGTTTGAATGGACCTATTTGTAGTCGAGCTTCATTGCTAGGATAAGATTTGCTATCAGACAAACTACTTTCTAACACCTCATCATTTATAGTTTCTCCCTTTTATTTCCACTTAAAGTAGATGTAAAGTTGTTAAAATCATCTTATGCTACACTGATAGTATGTATTCTTTAAAGAGGAAGAAGGATGCGCTGCATGGCTCTGATAGTTGGTCCCACAGGTGCTCTTTAGTTTGGCAGCTGAAGGTATAAAAAAACCCAGAAATCCAGGAAATCTTTCGTGAAATCTTTTCAAGTGGTGCAGATAACCATGGAAAGATATGGCACTCTGTGTATGGATGCATTAATGTAACAAAATGTATTATCTGAGCTAGGGCAATTTGCAGACCAGAGTGTATTGACTCAAGGTCTACATCTGGTCTGACAACCAATTATCTCTACCACCAAGATTTCCTGGATTTCTGGTTTTACTAAGTATCCTTTATCAGCATGCCTTATCTGGGGTCAGCAGGGTTTTACTGTAACATGCTAAACCACATTCAGTTCAGGGTTGCAGAGGCATGGAACTTGTATTCAAGCATTTTTGGAGTGTGGGGCAAGGGACACCATACACCGGTTTCTTTGCCAGTCTATCAAGCTATATGATAGTGTGTATTGTCTAACTGAAGGTTTACTTAAATGGCTTTCTGAAATGCTACAACATGTTCTTGAGATTTTCTGTCCACCTTCTAAAATACCTGCAAGTAGTTGCACTACTGTACTAAATTGGAAGTTACATGCTTGTGAACTCAGATATCTTAGCTTTTGTCCAAACCTTTTATGACATAAGTTAATACATCATTATGGCTTTGATGTATATGAATGTTAATATTTTTCAGACTAAATATTAAGCTTGACCAATACAGCACTTGAACAAAATGAGCAATCCCATGAGTTAATAATAATACATAAAGTGTATTTTTAATCTGAAATTTGTTTTGTTTTTGTATACAAAGAGAATTGCGCCTGGAAACGAAAAATATAATATATAATATAATATAATCACACCCCTTACTCGTCATTCATCTTAATAAACCAGACAGAACACTTTGGAGCACAACAACCTTTTTTAATTCCAATTTAAGTACTCTGTTTATTCATTAACATTCATAAGGCTTAACATCCATAACACAGCAAATAATCATATTGATAAAAGGACTGGAATACATAGCTGAATAGCAGTAAAGATTTGTGCAGAGAATGAAAGCAAAGAAAACTGATTCAATTATTCTGCAATAACTGAATACATTATGTAATACAAAGACAAGATTATCAAAATTTTGCCCATTTCCTGCTATGTAACATAGATTATTAGCTCCTGTTGACACGCTTCTCATCCCACAAAACATCTCCACATAAATAAATATCATTCCATTAGTCCGACCGAACACCTGCAGCCACTTAATATTGGATTTTCCTGCAGCAAGGTGATGTGTTATGCAAAGATTAATGTCAGTAGGCATTTAAATTCATTCAAAAATGAATTAAATTCATATGCTATTTTTCTGCCCTGCTGCAGGCATGCAATACAGATTTAATGTGCTTGGAGTCGCCCGGAGGTGAGATATGCAAACAGGCAGCCACAGGGTTGCCAGTTAAATTTTTCGTCTGGGGAAGCAGAGAACAAGTGCAGCTCTTTCCTCCCTTAACAGAAGCCTTTTAGCAAGGCATAGTCCCCAGCTGCTCAACAGCACAGAACTGTGGTTGTTCTGAAGAGAGAAGAGTGATGAAAGTTTTGGATTTTGTGCAGAGTTCAAATAAATGCAAGGGAAAAAAGCAAACATGGTTCAGCAAACATATCCATGTTAATCCATAGGTGTTCATTTGGGTGTAGATGTAGTGACTGCAAATGCCACAGCATATGATTCACATGATTTTCATACTCATCAAACCATTCAGTCAACCCTTGTGCACTATGGATGGAGACATTGTCATCCTGGAAGCGACCACTGCCATCAGGAGCAGTGCATCACTGAACTTTTAAATGTAAATTCATCTTTGTAATGCAGGGTTTATATACTGCAGCTTTACTTTAACATTCCTCTGACAAAATCAGAATCAACTAGGCCTGCTCAGTATTTCAATAAATACCACAAAGCATGATTGGATGTTGAAATCATAATTGTTCCATTGCACCTGTGTGGAAGCATCTGCATTCATAATGTTTCTCCACTCATTTATTGAGGGTTTTCCTTTAATTAGTGACCCATCTATATATACTCTGTTGACGTTTAGCCTTCTAAAGGGTTGGCCTTTTGTGAGCACAAAGGCTCTTATATGCAGGATTGTTCAAAATGTTAAGTATTTTTTTATTTTGTTAGTGACCATAAACTGACCCAAACTTGAACCATTAAATAAAAATCAAGCTCCACTGATTCTGACGTGTCATAATTTTTCTTAAAACTTGACATTAGCATACCATTCATGGTTCAGCTTTGTACGAGATACAGATCACTCAACCAAATACTGAATATAATTTAAATTTTTTAGTAATCATATAAACAAAAATGATGTGAATATGGGGTGTATACTTTACATGGTTATACCATGTGAATTTTTTATAGAGGAATCAGTAATGGAAAATTTCAAGTAAAATGTTACCTGATTTAAAAAATATAATTTGCAAGGCGAACATGTTCAAGTTTAAGCTCATATTTACCACAACTTGTTCAATAGAAATTCACTAAGCTGAGGGTGCCAGAATATACTTACCCAACTCAGCTCTTCTATAGTGCAATAAATAACAGAGCAGGGCATGATGGGACAGAAAAGAACATACTATTCAGCAGCAAATCACAGTAGCTCTCAAACAGGATCGTTAAGCTGCCTTTTTATTTTTGGGGCTTGCAAAAACAGAACAGTTGCATAAGCTCTTGACTTCAGAAACACGCACACACACACATGCTCCATCTCCTCCCTGGCTTGTCAGGGTGGCTGTATTTTTGAAAACACCTCAGGCTGAATGGTTGCATTGGCTACATGGAGGAGATGTTGACATTTTTCTAGCAATCAACCATCAAGCCCAGAGCGGCTGCATTCATGACCAACCCTGTCATCTCTCAACACTACTGCTTTTATCTGCTACACTGCTCTCTCACTCTCTCCCCTTCCCTACATCTCTTTCTCTCATTCAACCCTCAGTGTTCTCTTTTCCCATGTCTGTTCCTCTTCCCATCCTCCTGTATATTTTTCCCCTTTCTCAGAGACAGGTTCACTTACTCTTAAATCATTAAAAAAAAAAAACCTGTAAGGCTGTGAAAATCTTTTTCTATAATATGTAATTATGTTGGAGAATCAGACATTACATTGCAAGAGATGTAACTAAAATAAGCTGAAACATTTGAAATGAATTGTTCTAAAAGCCCAAGCTAAGCTGTTTATTTGTGTCAAGTCTTACAATTTCTAATAATTTATTAATACTGTAATTTGTGTAGATATTGTATTTTGCCAAATTTGCCTTTGCTAATCCTTCTTTTTACCTGTACAACCCTTCTGCTGTGCAGAGACTTGAAACTGGACAACATACTGTTGGATGCGGAGGGTCACTGTAAGCTGGCAGACTTTGGGATGTGCAAGGAGGGAATCCTCAATGGAGTCACCACCACCACCTTCTGTGGGACGCCAGATTATATCGCACCAGAGGTGACAAATTCAGACGCACACATGTCCACACCCACATACACACAAGATACACATACTTAATTATAAAGATAAAAAGTGCAAGTTCGACTGTTTGCTGATGATGCTCTATTTATCATTGCTAAGGTGGAGATGAAAGAAGAATTGATTTGCCATTTGGTGGGAAGGGCTTGTCACAGAAGCCTTATCAATTAATGTCAAAAATGCTTCAGCCCCCAAAATTACATAGGCTTGCTCATATTTCACCATAATTTTACGTATGCTCAGAATTTAGTTGTGATTTTGATTATGGTGTTTGACTCTGACTGGCTTTTTGTATGTGTCTTTTGGTCACTTTTTATTTGTGTTCAGATCCTTCAAGAGTTGGATTATGGCCCGTCAGTGGACTGGTGGGCTCTGGGGGTGCTGATGTATGAGATGATGGCAGGCCAGCCACCATTTGAAGCCGATAACGAAGATGACCTGTTTGAGTCCATCCTCCATGACGATGTCCTCTACCCCGTCTGGCTCAGCAAGGAGGCTGTGTCCATTCTTAAAGCGGTCAGTTAGCGGGAGGTGTGAGCATTTGTGCTATGTCTCAGCAAGCAGCAAAAATCTGCATGTAATGTAAATGTCAATGCATAAATGACAGGAAGGCTGATTTTTGGAACTGGTTGGCCTGAGATAGGTTACAGTTGAATGGTGGTACAGATTGTGGGCATTCTGAACAATATCCATACTACCACCAGACAAAAATCCACAATTTGCACATGTCATGATTGATCACTGGTGACATTTCTGCACTCTTAGTGAGCAACAGACCTGCAAACTCGTCTCACTGCTACTTGTTCTAGTTCTAATCATTGCAAAGGAGTCTTTAACATCAATACCATTGGAAAAACTAATTGCAACTAGCAAGATAGACCCACTCTCTTGGACCCATTTGCTTAAATATCTGTAGAGCCGATTCCTCTTCCTATAGCATCTACTGTTCCTCAGGCTTTTCAGATATCCTCCAGTGTCAACTCTACAACAAACAAAAATGTGAACCTCCCTTTAGCGCTATCTTCCAGGGCCTCTTTTCCCCTAGACCATATGAAATCCTACTTCTGTTGTTTTTATTTACTTTAAATGTTTTCATTAAAAAAATGTTATGTGCAAAGAAACTGGCCCATTATGAAGATTTCAAATGATATCCAGCCAGAGGTCTTTCCATTTATGTATCAGTCCACATGTTTCTTTGCTTTTGCTTTCTCCATCCGCTCTGGCTTTCTCTCTGTCACATGTAAGGATATGTTTGATTTCATGTCTGTGTTATTGGTTGTGTGTGTGTGTGTGTGTGTGTGTGTGTGTGTGTGTGTGTGTGTGTGTGTATGTAATGCCACTTGTCTGTTCGTTTATTTGGTTGTCCAGTTTTTCCATCACAAGCCTTGAGTTTACCTTGGCTGTTAGTGCAGTTTGACTGCAAAGCCTTGTGGGAAAGTGTGTGTGTTTATGTTGGACAATGTCTTGGACTCTGACCAGTCACTTGACCAGTACTGTGGGTTCTGATTGGACATGTCATCCAGCTGAAGTCACATGATAACTTCTCTCAGCTAAGTCTAATGGAGCAGCCTGTTTACCACTCATCCAGTTTTCAATTATTTAAGAAAATCCGGAAGAAAATTTAAAGTGAAGGAGATATTTTATAGTGGCTCTATTGTTTCGATATGGTGAGACAATTCTGAACTGGTTTATATATTGTTAATTTAGTGTTTATGAGACCAAGGATCTCCATTTCCATCAAACAGGAACTGACTGAATGTTGCCATTTTGTACAGAAATGCAACATTACTGCTAACGCTGCAAGTCAGTGTCTTTAGAGTTCTGCATGGGTATAAAATTGTGACCTGAACTGGGCCTGCACCTTTGTCTTTACCGTATTTTTTTTGTCAAAGTGACTAATGGTGACAACTTGAAGAAGTAAGTAGTAAAAACAACAAGTCCTTTTCATGAATGTAATTTGACGGTGTGCTATTGCCTGTAAGGATTACGTCGTAGTGAGACCGGAACTCAGCCTATATTTAGAGTTGAGTACCTTTTAGGGTTTGGGGAATTGTACTTAACCAGAGATAGTTTGTTAGAAAAAGAAGTGCTCCTCATTATTATCTGTTTTCATAGTTCAACAAGACCAACAGAGTGATTAGTCTTCTCTGATGAAACAATCTCACTAATCACATATCAAACATTTTAAAAGTAGGTGGGCTCTACGTTATTCCTGTCAGATATACATTTATCTTCTGTATCTATAGGTTGGGAATATTAATAAGGGTACCACTCAAAACCACCCTCAGCCAACAAAAGCGGATTACAAATCCAAAAAGGCTTTAGTCATTTAGAATTTTATACCAAAAATAGGAAAGCCTAGATACATTAAATAAGGGATTTGAACTCTTGAGTTTTCGGAACTGAATTGGGTTTATTCAATGAAAATTTTGTAGAGTGAGAATTGTATCAATTGAGTCCTGTTGCCTTACAAACAGTAGGTGGGATGTGCCACTTCTGTTGCCACACATCACTGCTGGGAAATAGGACAGTGGTGTATCCTGACACATTTTATTTTTAGTTTATTTTTCTTTGATGTAGCACAGGTTCCTTCTAAACAGGCATTCAATCTATTTCTGGTCTCTTGAGGTGATTGTTTGAAATTTTCTCTGCTGTTGTCTACAGAGGACACGTATAAAAGCATCTATTTTAGCTGAACAAAATGATTTATTTACCTGACCACAATTAGAGTCAGCAGATTGGATAAAACTGATGTTTGCGTCATGACACTTTTCTTTTCTTCCTTTCATAAAACCATTTTGAAAAAACAATATTCAGATCTCCACGTGTTCCATCATGTAAAATCCCAGGCCTTATGTTGCTATTGAAAGCGAATTACAACAATCTAAAGCAATTCATCAGAATCAATTTAATTCAACTTTATTGTCATTAAACACAATGTGCATGCACATGTAAATGGAAAGGAGGGCTGCGGCTTCACCAATATATAGACACATACATTACATTAAATAAATACAGATAGATATAAAGACACAAATATATGTGCAACTTGAATAAATGAGGTAGCCTCATGAGGAAAAATAAAACAATTCCTCTCTCTCTCTATCCTTTTCTTTACTTGCTGTCTCTGCTTCTCAGTTCATGACTAAGAGTCCTAACAAGCGTCTGGGCTGTGTGGTGGCTCAGGGTCTGGAGGAGGCCATTAAGCTCCATCCCTTCTTCAGAGAGATCGACTGGACACTGCTGGAGCAGAGGAAGATCAGACCGCCATTCAAACCACGCATCGTAAGTTCACACACACATAACCAACTGTGAAAAATGGATTGTGTTAGCAGGGAAACTGCAGGAACTGAAAAGAAAATATTCTCTCGCAAAAGGCTGGTTTTACAGTGACTAAAAAAACAGACACTCTTCAGGAATTTACCCTTAAATCTTCTTTGTCTTCCAGAAAACCAAAAGGGATGTGAATAACTTTGATCAGGACTTCACACGTGAAGAACCAGTCCTGACGCCGGTGGACAACAGCATCATCAAGCAGATCAACCAAGATGAGTTTAAAGGATTCTCCTACTTTGGAGACGAGACAGTAGCCTAAACACATGCTGACACACAAACGATTACCAACATACGTACACACCACCACCACCCCCCACCACCACCACACCTAAAACATCTAAAACATCTTCAAGCAAAGACACAGTATTTAAAGAAACACAGCCTCTGGAATAAGACCTCCTGAACTTTTCCAGATTCTGACCACTCCAGGAATTATACTAGACCATCCATATCTCTCTTTATGGTTTCTGTGCCCTTGATGTTTGTTCATTTGTGCATATCCCATCAAACTATATGCTCAAGCAGCATGTAAGTGCAGGTCAGATACTGTAAGAAATGACCCAATGCTCCTTCACTTGGTCTGCATGTATTTCTGATGCAGGCAAAGCAGAAGACAAAACCAGACTGGTGTTATGAGGTAGATACATGGGTAATGTCATGGGCTGTTGGTGTGTGTGTGTGTGTGTGTGAGAGAGAGAGAGAGAGAGAGAGAGAGAGAGAGAGAGAGAAAAAAAGATAGTGTGTATAAGTATGCATGCATGCATAGTTGCATACCTCTAGAAAGTCATTTCTGTACATGATGTGCTGTATCCTGTGTCTATCTATGTGTTAAAAGAATGTTTTTTGTTCCCTAACCATGTATGTGAATGGAGAAAAAAATAATTGAACCAATGATTGTATTTAAAGAAAAAAAAAGGTCTTGAAAAGTACTTTATTCATTATGAAAAGAGATGTCAAAAGGAGATGCAAGAAATCAAAGATTTTATCCTGATGAAATTATGGTGAAATTAGACGTTTTGTCAGTGCTTTATCGTAAATTTAGGAGGCAAATTGGCAAATTAAATGTTAACTTTTGAAGATAAATCACAAAAGCAAAATGTCCATTTAGTTTTATCTCAGCAGTTATTTTCTTATCATAAAGAGATGGTTGCGCTGTTTTTCCCTTCACTCTCCATATTTTAGCTTGTTAGTACATCAGTGTTCCCGTCGTTCATTAAAAAACAAATGGTACCATTAACCACCAGCTAGCACACCTACAGTAGCTTACCACTGGGAGTGTCCATTGCTGTAGTGAGGTATGCTTACAGTGCTAACAAGCTGTTTTCCATATAACTTGACATTTGACATTGAGACAGTTGTCCAGTGAAGCCAGATAATGAGCTGAAATCTAAAATATCAAGTGAGTTCTTTAAAGAGACAGGTTGTTTTACGTCTAAGGTTTAAGTCCTTGTCACTGTTAAACTCTCACTGCAACTGCTGGAGCAAAATCTTTCTAGGTCAACTCCTTAAATCCCTTCATGACCACTTGATCATTGAAATGCCGTGTGTGTTTGTGTGTGTGTACAGTCACTGTAATTGGTTGCTGTATTTGACCTACAGTCTCTGACATGACAAACCCCTTGATTCCACATGACAGTCATGGATCGTACACAGAGGTGAATGTGTTAGCACATGTGACTGAATGTGTTCAAATGAATGTATTTGCTCTGCGGTGTGTGCGTGTGAGAGTGTGTGTGTGTACATACGTGGAGAGCCCTCTTCGTGTTGGTCATCATGTTATATTTTTTATTTAAAACAGATTTTTGTCTTTGTTGTTGTTGTGTTATTTTTACTGGATCGGCTTGCTGACATGTTAGAAATCTTAAGATTTCATGTGCTGCAGTGAGACTCATCTGGTCAGAAACTGTCGTACTTCAGACCCTCCTCCACCTCTTTCTGCAGCCTGGACATGGAGGTCAAATAAGCTTTAAATAATCAAACAGGCCACAGAGGAAACTCCAGAGGTGTTGATCCATGTCGCAGGTCAGGTTTATGACTTTATAGTGAACTGAAAAGAATCCAAACATCTTTAAAACACTCCATGTGCAATACTAGATTTTTTTCCCCATTTTCATCCTCTCTTTCTTCCTTTTTTTCTTATTTCCTTCCACTTTCTTTTCTCCTTCATCCACAGACACATGTTCAGGTACAAAGAAGGCTACAGTACAGTTAGTTTTAGGACACATAGAAGTGAGAATGTTTTTACCCACACACATATTTACATCAAGTCCATTTAGTCAACACTGAATTCAATCAGTTCCAGTTCCCTGTGTTCCCTATTACATTCAGTTGTCGTGCATTAGTGAATACTTTTTGGAAAACATAATGTTGACTAGAACATTTACAGCGAGGGCAGTGTGACATTTATTAGATACATTTTAAAGGAAGAAAAGGGTGCAGCATCTGAGACGCATGCTTGTATGTCACATGGATAGTGCCTTTCTCCTGATTGCATGTGCTGCACATTTGATCACACATGGGTAGGAGACATGATGGGTGTGTGTCATTGCACATATTTTAAGAGCAGATTGTGAATAGGGTTTATTATTCTCATTTGAACTGATAACAGACCAAGAGTAAATGCTGCACAAAAGGAAGCTGCACAAGTTTTTGACTAATAATAAACAAATTTAAACAAATATACAGCAACACCAATATTACAGGTTGGTATAATCCTAATATGTACTGTGTGTTCAGTGCAGAAGTTTATTACATGTTTAGCATAAATCAGGTGCTTATAACATGCAAACTGCGTGCTTACATTGAAGGGAATGTGCACGACTAGTGTTGTCCAGGCCCACATCCTTTCTCATACAAGTTTTTAGCATTTAAATTTCTTTAGTTGACCTTGACCACGATGTTTTCAGGACCATAACTAAATTGTGACCATACTGTAGCTGTAGTAACACGTTGAAGGATAAAACAGTCTTTAAACTGACACAGTTCTACTGTCTGAATGTTATGTGTGATATGTTACAAACATTGTGGCACAAACTTTTAAGGAAAAAGGCATTGCACTCAAGATACATTTTTGTAACTAAGTACATTTACTCAAGTGCTGTGCTTACGTAGAAATGTGTTTTTACTTTCCTGCATTGAGTATGTTTTACTTTTAATACTTAAAGTACATTTTCCTGATTATACTTACATACTTTTACTGAAGCAACATTTGCAATGCAGGACTTTTACTTGCAACAGAGCATTTCTACAGCATGGTATTATTACTTTTACGTAGTATCTGAATACTTCCTCCACCACTTCTAAATACATATGAATGTAATATGTACAAGATTTTTTTGAGGGGCAGGAGTGTCAACAAATGAGCATTTGAAATACGTTACCTGTCCTGTTATTAGTCAAGAGTAGAGTTAGGAGTTACCTGCCAGAAACCCAAACTAGGACAAACATTCAGCACTGTACATGGAGCAGTGAAAACATCAGAAGTGTTGCAACAGCAGTAGTAGAAGATGTATTAGATACAGGAGCTGTTGGAAGACACTCATACTAAAACACACATACACACAAGTTTGGATAGCAAATATTTAAGACTGTCTAAACAGTTCTACTGGCAACCAACTTCCAAAACTACCATGTTTATGCTGTCCATCATTTAAAGTCTCTTTCTCTTCTCTTCAGTTTTGTGTCTCCTGTCGCATCTTTGTTTAGTCTTTAATTTAAAAATGTCAAACTGTTTGTCCCACCAAGACCCAAAAAGGAAGTTCTCTTCCAGAAGCCCTCCACGCTAAATGCCAAAATGCTATTTCCAAATTTTCCACTCAGTACTTTAATGTTTGTTGCAGAGGAAAAAGAAAATATGCTTCATTCAAGTGAGTGAATCAAGTTGAAGTGAAAGTCAACACACAGTGGCATGAGGTTGATTTCAAACAATGGAAACAGTATTATGATTTTACTCACAGAGTCAGACATTCATCTTCCTCGGGTCATATGCAGAGTGTTACTGTATGTACATGTTTTTGGGTTGTTGTTTATTTGCAGTCCCTGTATTTGTGAAGCTTTATATGTACATTTTGTTATCTGACCTGTGCGTTTGTTCCTTTATGGATTCTCTTCATTTGTGTTGATATTTTTTCCTTTTGCGCTGTGTGCCAAATGTACTGTATTTTAAAAGGATGTGAAGGTGTATTTTAATTTTTGAAACAAATTAAATATCATGATGTCAGAAAAAAAATCTGTTTTAGCGTATCATTTCTATTTCAATGTTTATATCTGCCTGTCTAACCCTTCACCTCCTCCTGTTGGTGTTTCAAGGTAAATCGTTTGAAATAAAACCAATTTGTCTCATGAATTCAGTTAAAATAAAACAATTCAAGCATGATATGACCTCAACAAGTACTGAACAGAAAGACATAAATAATATACATGACATTACCACACAAATTTAAAAAAATCATTTAAAATTCAGCTGTGGGCCCTCGTACTTTGTGCACGTTGGGACGTGCTGCGGTTGCTTCATGCACCAGTATCATCTTCTTGTTTACAGTAGGTGGCGCTATGACTGACAGAATATTAGCATGTAGATGTGTTGAGGGTGGGAGTCTTATCAAACATGTGAAGTTTGGTGGAGCTAGGACAAAGTACACTGAAGTTATGCCACATCCTGTTTCATGGCGATACGTTGAAATTCGACACCAAGCCATGGACATGCCATTTAACGTACAGTCACAGATAGCACAACTGTTAATCGTGGTCTTTAAATTGCACTGACCTAATCTGAAGTTGATTCGATCAATTCCCTAGGAGGAGTTTGTTCAAATACAACACCTGCAAATTGCCAAAAATGACCGCTAAATTCAAAATGGCCGCCTTCCTATTGGGTTTTGGTTATGGGTCCAAGAGGCTTTTTTGTTTGTCTGGTCATGAAACACGTACATCCCAATTTCCATACATATCGGTAAAATGTGCCTCAGGAGCTGAGTTTAGTGGGCGCATGTTATGGCCTCCAAAAATATGATCCCTTTGGCAGATAATTCCTTGCATTTCAATCAGGCTTTGCAGTGCTCGCTCCTCGGGCCCTAATTAGAAAGCACCCAGGATCATTGAGTTCCTCCACCAAGGAAGATCTGTAATCTTTTCCATCTGAAATATTTGACAAGTTGATAGATGAAGACAATGTAAAATGCCAGAAGCAGTTATCTGCATCTGTCTCCTCTGAAAAATGTGGTGAAACCTGCTCTTAAACACAATGTTGCTGTGAAACTGAACTTTAAGTGGCTTTAGAGAGAAAATTAACAATAGTTATGACGCAGGGTGGCTTTTGTTTTTGTTTTTACCTTATCTTAAAAAGCCGTGTCCTTTATTCCACATCAGTCAGGTGAGCCCAAATATTTAAATACAGCTGTCTACTCCAAAGCTAAGCTGCCAACACAAAACAGACTGATACAGTCATGTTTTACATCTTCATTTCATACCTGCAATCAGCTGCAGCTTACATATAAACCTAGTTTATGGGCTCAGTAAACGATGCCAGTAAATTACCAGCAAACCACTACCAGTAAAACGTGCTCATAGTGCACTTTGATTGACCTCTCCTGGACATTTATTTATGTGAAATAAAGGTCTGGTGCAGTAATAAGAGATGATAGAGGATGTCCTTATTAGCAGTGGAACTGTTGCGATTGTAAGTTATAAAATGAATATAAACTGAGCATCAAATATTCAATGCCTACAGGCTTAATAGGTGGCTGTGAAAGTTAGCTTCAGCTAGCTCTTCATGCTGTTAGCACAAAATAAGGCCGGGCCCATTGGAGACTCCAGAAAGTTGCTCGTCCCAGCCAGGAAATGGTTAAGCTCCGTACCTTCCAAGAATTGTTGATTACTTTATTCATTTTGTGCGGTTAAAAAAAAAGAGGTAAATTGAGTTAATTAGTGAGTTTTTAGAGATTTGGGGAGAATTTGCTACCTTTGGAAAGAGCTTTGCTTGCATTAGCTCCTTCCCCCTGTTTCCAGTCTTTATGCTAAGCTAAGATAACCGGCTGCTTGGACTTTAACACAGGAGACTGATGTACTCTATTTCAAAAGGGCGTGAAGGTGTATTTTAATTTTTGAAACCAATTAAGTATCATAATGTCAGAAAGACATTTACATTTGTTTGGTGTATCATTTCTGTTTCAATGTTTATATCTGAATCTCCTGTAAAACCTTTGAAATAAACTCAGTTAGTCTCATGAATTCATTTAAAATGTTGGTGAAAAACAATTTAAGCGTAATATCACTTCAACATCTTAACAGAAAGATATGATAGTATACATGACGTTACCATACAGCTTAGAAAAATCACTTCAAATTAAAGCTGCAAGCAGCAATGATTGGGCCCTCGCACTGTGCACGCGTTGGGGCGTCATAATAAAACTGATTTACAGTGTTGTCAAATCATGCTTTTGGTGTATATGTCTCATTTAATCTGTAGGTCTTGGACTGCTGACTATAAACAAATGAGAGTGGTGTCGATGTTAAATAGCCTAATGTTGAACAGTGTGCACATCCAACCCCTGCTGGGGTCCGGTGCAAAACTAAATTTAAAAAAAAAGAAACAAAGGAAAAGGATACTGCTTCCAAGTTTTCATTAGTGTAACATTTCAACCTGTGAGGTCTTCATCAGACAAACAAGGTTTTCATTTCCTAAGTGGTATCAATGTTCTCCTCCCACTCTCAAAATCAAAACTGAACATATTCTGTAAAAAGTTCAATATGCAAACCACAAGAGCTGCAGTTTTTTTGGTAAAGGTACAATGTGTGATAAAACACAGTGAAGTACTGTGGTGCTGCAGAGATGCCCTGGTCCACTTATCTTGTTCTCCAGATTTAAAAAAACATGTTTGTTTGGTACAGACTAAAAATGAAATTTGCGATGCAAAAACAATAATTCCCACTAGTCATGACTCAAATCACAATCTCAATATCTGTCATAATAATTGCAATGTGATCTGTCTGAAGTGTGTAGGAGAAACTACGGTGGCCTCAAAACTTGAAACAAAAAAAAGTCCCTATCTACAGCCAATGTTTTGTTTGTCCATTCTGGGCTAGATTAAAAATGGCGGTACAACATGGCGTCCTTTGCAGAAGGTGACCCGCAGCATCTGCAGATACAAACGGCTCATTCTAAAGTAAACACAACGCTTGCTATATTCATTCTGCCAACAGATCCTCTTAAATGTTCCACACTGGACCTTTGAGCATAATGGCGCTAAGATCCCAAATTCCCTTAATTGACAGACTTCCAGGGCAAAGTGGGACCCCTTTCCCGCCTTAAAAGCAATTTATATTACTTCCTTCACAGCCTGGCACCTGTTGCCAACCCCGCCACAGAGACCAACAGGTAGGAGCGGACGCACAGGGGGAGGGCGGGGCTGCATAAGACGGACCGGGGGTGGGGGCGGCTCCCGGCGGCTTTTCCAGCCAATCACCGTGCGTGATCGGGACAGCGGCTTTCACGGTGCCAGCTGAGCTTCAGGTCAGAGACTGGGCCGCAGCAGTTTCGAGAGTTTTCAGACCAGCAAGCGCGGAAAAGTTTTGACAAGCGGACCTTTGCGTGCGGCTCCTGTCAGCAGCAGCCCCAGCCTGTGCGGAGCCTTCCTGCGGGTGAGAGGCTGTACAATCCTCGGCAGTGTTCTGAGACTGTACGGCCCCCGATCCCCCTACAAGCCTGGCCGCTCACAGCCAGCCGGGTGTTATGGACTAACCAACAGGTTTCATCTGTCAAAAAAAAAAAAAAGAAAAACTCCTTTTGACTGTAAAGTTGGACTTTAGTTGTAGACTGTCGGGGAATTACAACACTGTTATCGTGCATAAGAGAAAAAAACATGACGGCCGATAAGGAGAAAAAGAGGTAAGACGTTTTGATTTCTTCCTCTCCTTCTCTGCTTTAAAATGTGCCGTTGGTTATGGGTTTATGAAATAGATGAGTGTGTGTTTATGTAGTGGGGAAAGTGCCTGACAGTTGGCTACTGTGGCACAGAGGGAGACCTGTTGCTGCAGCGCTGCATGTGACTTGGCCTGAGTCTGTGCTCTGATGGTGCTCGTTAGGAGTCACGGTCACAGCTAATGGCTTCATAAGGAAGCTTTGTGACAACGTTAGTGTGTGTTTAATGCAGTAATGACACGTTTGGGTGTGATTAGACTCATGTGAGGTTAGTGGGTCGTTTGATTTGTAGTCTGTAATTGACAGGACGTCTGGTTTGTTACAGATTGTCACTGAGTTTAACCAGATTGAATTCAGGCTGTCACTGCGATACACCAGATTTAATTCCGATTTGGGATATTTCTGAAATTCAATGCCGCCTTTTAAAAGGCTTTAAACTAGGTTCTTAGTTTTTTTTTTAGACCTGAAAAAATCTAACCAAACAAGCCCCAATGTTAATCTAGTCTAAACAGGTGGATGATGTCAGAAGAATTTGAGAATAAATAAGCATTTTCTTACAAATAAAGCCCCTCCTGAGGTATCTCCTTCCATATTAAGTTGTCTTGTAATAAAATCGCATTAGCCTTTGCTGATTGTAGGTGTGTACATTTGTGAATATTCTCTCAGGGACAGAGAACAACATTTTTGAAATGGTAGCTTCTCAACATGAAGCTTTAGTTTCTTGCAAACTTTCACACATCCACAGAAGACATTTTACTTTTTTCTAGAGGGGATTCTCAGCATCTTTCTCATAATAACTGTGATTATAATTACTTATTATATATTTTTCCAATAAACTTTAGTGCTATGTGTTGGCAATAATCTGGCAATATGATATGTATCACAATACAGGGGTTATGATTAATTATATTCCGATACTGTAAAAAAGGCAGTATAGTGTGATTGCTTTCCTTAATTTTAGGAAAACTTTGGATGTGTGTGTCGGTGTCCATGTGTGTATCTGTCCTCAGCTAATCTCGCATACTACTGGACCCATCGGCCTCTTGTTTTTTGTGCACATTTCTGACTGCATGCTAAAGGACCTCTTGTGGTTGTGGGGATTCACAGTGTTTGAAAAATATCTTTCATTGACTGCTGTACATCTCCATTGAATCCTGATTCTTCACTCCATAGGCCCGGGAGGGGACAACGTCCATGGTGTCCACGTTAGTGTTTCACTTTGAAATTGACATTTTGGAATTATCCAGGGCTTGTTTCCATATAGCCTGTCCACTCCGGTTGTCTCCCCTTAATTCCACCACTCTCATGCATACACACTTGACTCCCAGCCCGCCCTGCACTACCTGTTCCCCACCCACATGCCCCCAGACACACCTGGTGGAGATCAGTCTTAGTAGAGGTAGATCTCAGACGTCTGGCTCAGGAAACTTCTAGAACTGCAGGTATCTTTTAGTAGCTGTAAGTCTGCTTTCCTGTCGAGGCGATTACAGCTGCTGAATCACAGCCTGCAGTTCTGCTAGATGTCAAAAAGCGCTGCTACATATTTGGTTATATAATTGGCAACATTCATGCAGCCTTGAAATTTTGGTCTGCTTAGTCAGCCGAAGCAGCAGATAATGACGGGTCCTGAAATCAGCTTGTCACACTTTGATTTGCATGGGGGTTGTTGTGCAATAAGACAACAAAAAAAATGAATATGTGAAATATTTAAGCTACTTAATCATTTAGCCTCTCATGTAATAAGTAGGTATTTGAGGTACATGTTTCCCCCTTTTAAATAACTTCTTTATTGGTTCGTCACTGTGTCTTCCTGCAAGTACCACCCTGCTTTTCGATTGTTAATTGTTCACAAGGGGTGATGAGGTCATTAGCCTAATCTTGCGTAATAATACTTTAACTCGTTTTAGCTTGTCCCAGTTTCTGTCACCATAACAGCTACTTAATCACACCTGTCAGAGAGAGAGAGAGAGAGAGAGAGAGAGAGAGAGAGAGAGAGAGAGAGAGAGAGAGAGAGATTTAACATCTTACCTGTGAAAAAACACTCTCTCTCTCTTTCTGATCCAACCACGCAAAGATTCAAGCCAAGGAAAAATCCACTGTGAACGCAACAAATGGGACATTTAACTATGTGTAAAATGAGTGAAAAAAATCATCTTTATTTTTACTTTCACACCACTAGGAGACTAAAATTGATTTCACTCAGCAGAGTTGGGTTTGCCTGACGCCTTCTTGTCTGTCCACCCTTGTGACTCTCTTCTCTCCACCTCTCGTCTAACAGCCGCTATCAGATCAGGCCTAAACATGAACAGAGCAGGTATTAAGACAGAGGACAGAGACACTGTGGACTCTCTGTCATCAGGGATGAAAGCGAGAGAGAAACGGGCAAAGAGAGAAAATGACATTTAGAGACAGAAAGTGAGATGAGTCCTGGAGGATTTCCTGTGGCTCGTCAGTGCCTTGGTGCTTCCACCAGAGAGCTATCGGCCATTTTAGGGAAGGAGACCTGCAAGTGTGTCTCTGTCAGGCTGCAGATGAAAAGCGTCTCTGTGTGTATGTATCTGTGTGTGCGTGTTGGTGTGTGTAAGTGTGTGAGAGTTCACTAGGTTTTGTCTCCTCATTGGTGTGTTGTGTGTTTTCCTCTGTCAGTGTGTTTGTCTTTGCATTACACGGTAGCACATCGTCACTGCTCCTGCCTGGGAGTCATAATTGCTCTGATAAGTTGTATGATTCATGGCAGCTGCCTGGCAAACACACGCTATGTTTATTTGAGATGCAGCGGTTCCAAACGGTTTTATTAATATAACTTGTGTTGATATGAGGGGATTAAATCACTGGAATGTCTTTATGTGATTGTTCACTTACTGTCAAAATGCAATGCCTGTCAACCCAAATCTGTCTCAACAAAGATATTTTATGTCGGTGATAAAAACTACTCAGAAACTACGGGCAGGGTGTTTCCTCAATGGAGTGTGTCATCAGTGACACCAGAGTGCATTATACCGTGGCAGAGAGCAGAGCAGATTAATTGTTTGGTTGATAAAATGTGAGAAAGCAGTGGTTTCCCCTGGGAATCAATAAAGTATATCTGATTGTGAAATGTCTTGTCCGAGCAAAATTTCAACATATTCAGTTTACTATCAGAGAGGACCAAGAAAACCCTCAAATCTGCATATTTGAGATGCTGCAACTAGAAAAATGTTTCAGTTTTTGCTTAAAAAGAGATTTGACGATAAATAAAATGTTGATAAATTCACTATCCAAATTAAATAATAATAAATAATAAACAGCAGTTGACCAGAACTAGGACCCATCACAACTTTCCAGAGCTTAAGATGATGTCTTTTTCATTTTTTATCTTGGACCAACAGTTCTAAATGCCCAAATATTGAATTTGCTATCTTAGCCATATTTCAGAAGCTGTAACCAGTAAATCTGTGGTACTTTGGCTTCAAAAATGACTTCAGTGATTAATCAATTATCAGAATTGTTGATGACTAATCTGTAAATTGCAATCTATTAATGCAACAATGGTAATAAACAGGGAATGTAAACTTAAGTGTTTCCAATATTTTAAGACAAAATCTCAGAGTCGTGGAAGACTCCTCATCACACTCATCATGAACATGCGTCTGAGTAAACGTGATGCTAGAGCCGAAGCAGCACACAGTGTGACATTCAGAGTTGTGTCTGTGGACTTTAGTAGCAGCATGCTGACATTGCTGTTGAAGGGTCTGGGTCCCATCTTTTGCAAGGAGTCAACATTAAAATAGTTCTTGTATAACCCTGATCCCATGAATTTGCTGAACCCTAAAAGCTGTAACTTGTTTGTTAGAGCAACCGGTAGCTCCCAGATCTCAACGCAGCTCAAAGGCGACGAGGCGAAGTGTATGATTGGAATCTTTTGTGGCAGTAATGGGTTGGAAGGCAAATTAGCATTTATAATGCACAATGGTGTGAAATTTGGTTACGATCATATTTTACTTGGCAGCATCAGCAAACACCCGAGTGGTCAGACAGGTTTTAGGTCCCCAGCGTTGTTTGAAAGTTAAAACATTTTGCACACACAGCTACAGACTGCTGGTCAAAGCCAAGAGACAATTTTTTTACATTTACCCAAAGTAGAGAGTATAAATATCTCATATATGAAGCTAAGAGATCTGATAAGTTATGCGAGACATTTGGAATCAGGCAAACTGCGTCATGTTCATCATATCAGAGGTTAAACCCACAGCCTGCTGGCACACATCCAGTTTTTGATCAGTCTAACTGCAGTAAACACTCCGGTGTTTGTTGTGGTCAGTCAGCCGTTACCACTGTTTGACAAAGTAACACATTAGCAGTGTTTCCCACGTTACTTTTCTGCCACTGACTACATTAAAATAGATTTATTTTGACATGCTGGCTGACAGATACCAGAAAAAAAATAAAAAGTTGAGGGCCCCACTCACTTCTTTCAACATGTGATTCCACTGGAAACAATGTTCAAAGGTCAGAGTCCAGGGCAGCTGCCAAGCAGATATACATTACCTGACCGTGGAGAGATTGATCCATGTGGTGTATTTTTTTGTCTCTTTTTAAAACCTCTTACCATTATTATAGCCGGGTGGGGTGTAACAGTACATTCTGGCACAGTATATGGCAATAGAAAAATGTGACTATGAATTTGGGATTCATTTTCTTCTAACCTTTTTTTTTAAATGTAAAAATAGAAAAGTATTTTCAGTCGTAGGAGATCTCTTGAATTTTGCATTAACATCTAAAGGAAAACCTACTAAAACTATCATTAAAACAAAGAAGTCCAGTTATGTGCATTTTATGACAATTGTAGGAACATTAAAGAATCTTCCACTGTCACTGCTTTTTTATCATTAAAGCTTTGTTAACAAAATATAGTAGGTGTATTAACTTGCGTACCTTGCATCACGCTGAACCTTAAACCCTTGATAATGAGTCAGTACACAAAAGAT